ATGATCCCTGCAGCATTTCCAGGGGTTTCATTAAGAGCCAGGCACCAGGCAAATTGACCAGTTGCAAGGATGGTTTTGCCCACCTGGTTTTACCATCTGGAGGAAAGTTTATCTTGTAAAGAAGTTCAGTTCAAAAAGTTTTGCCCTCCTGTGAAAACCAGTTGCCCTCCTGCTGAAAACATTAATGAAACCCCTGCATTTCACTCTTTTCTAGCAAATCAACTTAAGAACTTTGCTATTTATGTGCCTTAACTTGCTTCTTATACAGTTTGGTGCACTGATTATAGATAAATGTAAAGAAAGCCAACTCACAAAGCATTGGTTAATGTGTCAGTAGTGTTTCATTCTCAAAATGGTGGCTATTTAGAGTTCCTTGTGTGTTGTTGGCCAATGCCTTGATCTCATGTTCATGGACAGATTGGCTGATATGTTGGTTGATCTTCCAATGTGTCAGTAGTGTGTCAGCTGATGCATTGATTGTGTTGGTGGCATCTTGGTAGTGTGTTAGCTCAGTGGAAGTAGATTCTTTTCATTTACCCCGATTCTGTAATCCAATAACTCAACTCTGCAATTATCATTATAGTGACTCTAAATAAGAATATGGGTGTGTGTCACACAATTAATAGTTTTCTTTCCTTATATCCCTTACACTACCACAATTCTGTCAATTTCAATTTCTCACAATTTAAGAGAAGTACTTTCAAGAAAATCTCCAGGGCAACGATAACAAAATATGAAGTGCAGTAATTTTTATGAACAATACAACATAAGACTTAGTGATATTAATCCAAACTCTACAATTAGCAACTTGAACAAGAGAAGTGTTAATTTACTGTAGAACATTAGATATTCTACTGGGGACTTAAAATAGTTCTTTGAACAACATTACTATCAAGCTAGCTTAGCTTTTTGTTTTAGTTTAATATTTCAGGACTTGGTTTAATGAATTTGGAAATAACTTTAAAGGACATTTTTAAAAAAAGAAATCCTTTTAGAAGGAAGGGGTAGAAGAAATTTTGGCAGATAGTTTACTGTACTCAACACAGTAAAACAAAATGAATTAAAGTCAGATTTCTGCAAACAATCACAACTTCCATTATTGTATGCATCTACACTTGCCATTCTACAAAACTGTCTTTAACATGCAGGCTATAGGCTCAAAAAGTTTAATTGATTACACCAAGAATATCCTTTTCTATCTCTGTCATGTCCCATAAATCTTTTCCTCATGGTCACTGTCGACAGAACAGTACTTTAATTGACGAGAATTACTAAATATAATTTTAAGAATCTAGTTACTACAGCCACACTTCTCTTTCTCATTTCCATCTCCTGCTCGTATTCCACGATCATGGTTATCCCCCAACACAAATGCTCTCTGCTCAGTGTGAGTGTCTTTTACCTGTTTATTTACCAGCTCAGCAAGCATTGTGAAAGCCTCGGTGACGTTAACAGAATCCTTAGCACTTGTCTCTATAAAAGGCATGTCATTAAGCGCAGCCCACTCTGCACCACTTTCTGTGGAAACTTGACGATGTGAATTAAGGTCCGTCTTGTTCCCGACCAGGATCATCAAAACTCCTTGATTGGCATATGTTTCTACCTCATTCAACCATTTATTGAGGTTAGTGAAAGTTTCTTTTCTTGCAATATCGTAGACAATCATGACTCCATGAGCTCCTCTGTAGTATGACGATGTTATTGTTTTGAATCTTTCTTGGCCAGCTGCAACAAAAGAAATCAGAATACTGATGCTCAATAATTATGAAGAAGAAAATTCTTGTGAATTATTGATTCATTAACAGCTGTATTGCCAAGTGGAGATCGAGTGCCTGAAACATCCAGGAGCTTCCACTATTGGTGGCCAGCTCCTAGATGGAGACTTCTCCCATGGTTTGCAAATCCTGGCAACCCAGCCATGAACCCCCACACAGGAAAGGGAAACAGGCACCCATCACACTGAATAAACAATGAAAAGAGGGAGGGAATGGGTGGGGAAAAACTGCCTGGGAACGCTGCAAGTACACGCTCAAAGCTCACGCAAGAATGCCTCAAACAAAGAGCACATAGAATTCTGACACATGCACATATGCCAAAATACCACTGATTACTTGAGAATGCTGATGTTCTTTGTTGTTAACTCTGTTAAATTGCATTTAGCCGCATCTTAAATTGGGTTTTTCTCTGTGTTACCAAAGTGTTATTCTAGTCTCCAAACTCAAAAATTTGAATTGTTGAGAAAATAAGTTGATATGATAAGCTGATCACATTGGTTCTTACTTCAATCTTTCAGAGGACAGGTGGATAGATGCTGTCACCATTAACATTTTTGGCTTTTTTATTATAGAAATACAAATAGATGCCATGTTGCCATCCGTGGGTCTGCCCAGAAACAGATCACAGAAGATGCCAAATGTGGTAAAAATGTCAGAAACACATTCAGCTGCCCCTCTCGTGCCACTTTTTTTGTTCTAACCCCATTTCGGTATTATCTATGATCTACAACTGAGTGGATGCATGGTAACATGGAATCTATTTGTTACTTTAAAACATGGAACTTCTATACCCTTATCTTTTTGTGGGTTCATACCTTTATTTTATGGTAACAATAGATCTTCGGTAGCTGGAACAGTTAAAGAATTTTTAACTTGACTTTGTCAGTTTTTATCTTGATTCCTGTAGACTCAGAAAGTTCTGGTTTGGCCTCAAGGCCAAATCCATATAAAATATCCATAAACTATTGAAATCATATGCAAATTGCCATGATAATTTAGAAACTGAGAAACACCACTGTAGCACTGTGCCAAAATCAGAAAAACCTGACCTTTTTTCATTCTTAGGCAGATACCATATACTAAGCCTTTGCCTTCACCAGAATAAATTTTCCTGTAATTGTGGGACATAGACAAACTCCCACACAATCAAAATCTTCTAGAAACTTTGGTCTAATTGCCATAAATTTCCTTTCATAAGATGTTAGCCTTTTACTCTTTTATGCATCATTGTTCGAGAATTGCCTATAATTCACCAATATTTACCATCCATTGACATACATTGTCTCCAATGATCCATCAGATGACAAGAAAATATCACATTCGATTGCAAATGGCTTATTTCAGCAGGGGCCTCTTCTTCACGATCTCAATTTTCAGTCCGCTTAAACTAAGATTCCAGTCCTGCCTGACTTTTATAAAAACCAAATGTTTACCATATAACCTTTAATATAATTATTTCCAGCCTGCCTGTGAATCTTGATTAGCTGCAGCCAGTCATAGAAAAACAAATCTTGACAATCTTTAATGACACTCTCAAATACATGAGAAAACATGTTTTTTTCCGGGACGATTCCAAACATAGAGGAATATTCAGTCAGTCTCCGTTTTTCACTGGAAATCCAACATTTTTTTGTAGATTATCCTTTTTTTTTTTCCAAATGCAATCAAGTAGTTTGGAGGCTTTCTCATTTACGGATCAGAGTGACGGTACAAAAAATAATTATAAATTTATCGTCGTTAATACTAAGAGTACTTGCGAATTTTACATTTTCTCACAAATTGGAACAGTGACAGAGCACAGATTTCAACGGATAACGAATATGGAATATTTCGGTGTTGTTAACTTTTTACGCAAATTGATCGAGTGAAAGAAATATTCACGACCTATAGTTTACTTTTCAGGAAATCTTTTGTTTACAAGGAAGTCAAACACTCGCACACAATACAGTTTCCTGTGTTTATCAACACTAACAATCAGTATATTTCGTACCGTGAATTCGTAATGTGTGCAAAATTAAATAATTCTCGAAGAATTTGACCTATTAGCATTTTATTTTTCTTAGCTCGCAACTTGATCTTTTAATCAATTTATTTTCGGTTTGCGAAAAGAAAAAACGCAAACAACCAAATCTGTGCGTCACTTCTTTTAACGACATCCTCAGGGTGCCATGGAATTGTACTTAAAAATGCAAACAGTTCTGTTCGTAGGATGGTGAAAATTTGCGTGCTTCTTAAAATAGTTTAAATTCGTCTCACGAAAGCTGGTAGATTTTTTCCTGTATAATCTTGCGCATTGCTAGATAAGAGGCGAGTCGATCATCAACAACAGGCAATGTTCTTGAATTTCAAGCAACAACTCGGAAGCCATTAATTTTTCAAGAGAACAAATACTGCGAAACAAAGACATCATGTTTAAGCGAAATCCAAGAGGCGATTTCGGGTAGGTACATATTTACCCTTAAATTAAAAAGTTGGAAAAAATTGTCTGTTATGTATTGCGCCGGATTAAATTTCACCGTCGATTACAGTGTTCACTTACCAGTGTCCCAGACTTGAAGACGAATTCTTTTCCCATCGAGCTTGATGGTTTTTATTTTAAAATCTACTCCAATCGTGTTTAGGTAAGCCTCTCTGTGGGCGAAATCAACATAACGAAGAAGAAGACACGATTTTCCCACGCCAGAGTCGCCGATCATCAGAACTTTGAATAAATAATCATACTGAAGTTGTAAGTCTACAAGCAAATCCGAATCCATTGTGGCACCAAATTAAGATCCACGGGGAAAATAACGAAGAATCTGATGATCGCAGTCAATGAACGAGGCTCATCACTCGAACAGACGAATTTCCCTACACGCGAACGTAAACGCTGTTATTCTTTGTGCAAATTGAAATCGAATCAATCAGCTGGACGAGTCCGAGAGTTATTATTTATTAGTGACCGACGGGAAACTGGGTAGGGTTACTGTTTTAAACTTGGATCGGACTCAGAGCAAAGGATCGGGAACCTGCTTAGTTACGTTGTAGATTTTTACGGTTGTCAGTGCCTTCTTCTTCGACGATGTCAGTTCGATTAATAATCTTCGACGATTTCAAATTGGTGAAAGATCTATTTAAGACAATTTTATTGCTATAATCATATAACCGTTTTTGATTTAATTTACTCAACTTTAATTATACAGGTCTTAATATAATATATGTTGTAGTTCAATTTTATCCTTGATTCAAATTTTATTTTCCTTTGTTTCAAACTCATTATCATACATCAACGTGACTGAGAACAAAGGAAAATAAAATTTGAACCAAGTATAAAATTGAACTACAGCATATACAAATTGTAGATAAATTAACACGTAAAATAAATAAAAAGAAAAAAATCACAAGATCTGAATAATCTGGTCAGTTTAAACAGAATACGAGGATTCCTTATGCGAATAAACTGTCTCAATTTAAAACCATATATGCACTGCACTGATGAGGCCCAGAAGGCCAAAGCAGTACTGTCTGCGGTTAGACATAGCTCTTTGGCATTACAAAGCTTTGCTTTTATGTCCAAATCGAGCACTCTACTAGGATGAGTCATGTCATGCAATCGTGCGAAGCTCACTAGTTTCTAGTTTGAGCACTCTGGCATGGCTCATAGTTAGAACTATGCATGGCTTAAATGTACCACAAATGTGGAATCATTTGGGGTGGCTTTATAGCTTCACCCCCATCCCAGAATTAGCACTGCACTGATGAGGCCCAGGAGGCCAAAACAGTACTGTCTGCAGTTAGACATATATATTTATATATAAATCTACATAAAAAAGTTATGCAAGTTTGCTCAAATAGTATGAAATATCATGACAATATATTATTAATCAGTTATAAAAATCTATTCTTAGTTACGTTAAATTTATTTGGATAAAACTTGCTAATACTGTTCTTGAAGGATGAGAAATGTTCAATTTTTCTGACATCTATAGGTAGGCAATTTCATAAGTCTACAATACGACTGAAGAAAAAAAACTTAAAAACATCAGTTTTGAAAAGGCCTTTCACCAGTGTACCTTCACTATTTATACTTGGGTGTCTTAAAATTTGCATATGACAAGACTTTCAGGCACTTAAAGAAAAATGACAAAGATCTAATATATCTCTTGTGTATTCTAGAGGTAAAAGTTTCAGTTTGACAAGTCTGTCAGAATAACGTAAGTCAGTTTTCAGGATAAATTTAGTGGCACGCCTTTGTACACGCTCAAGTGCAGTATCTCTTTGCTCTAGTGTAAGGTGACCAGACCTGTGGAGCATACTCCAGCTGGGATTGAACAAGTGATTTGTATAAAATTATCAATGTTTTCTGATCACATTCATTGACACAAGTTCTTTTGATCATGCCCAGCATCTTGTTGGCTTTACTGATGATGACGTCAGTGTGACTATTCCAAGATAACTTGGTAGAAACATGCACATCAAGGTCTTTCTCAGTTGTAACTGAAATAATCTGTGAACCATAAAGTGTATATGCTCTGACGAAGGGCTAACGCTCGAAACGTCAGTTTTTTAACTCTTTACGGTGGCCAATTTACAGTTTCAACTTAGTTGATATTACCAAATTACCTTGCTACCCCCACCTACGCAGCACCACAGTTTCTTTAGAAACTTACCCTCTTTATTCATAAAGTGTATAGGCTGAATCGAAAATATTCTTTTTCCTTGTGATTGCAAGATATTTGCATTTCTTTGAGTTAAACTCCATGAAGTGATCAGCTGACCAATCGTTTAGATTTGACAGGTCACTTTGTAGCTGTGAAACATCATCAGTGTTATCTATGATTCTGAAGCATTTCATATCATCAGCGTACAGTTATACAGTGGAGCTTGAGTGTATAGCTTTAGGAGCCGTAGTGATATAAATAATGAACAAAAGTGGTCCTAAAATGGACCCCCGAGGCACTCCTGCTGATATTAGTAACAATGACAATTCACAACCATCAATGACTGTTCTGTGGTGTCTACATGTTAATCATGAACTAAACTAGGAAAGCAGTTTACCTCTTATACCCACAACAAACAGCTCTTTCAATAAACAGTTAAATGAAACATAGTCAAATGCCTTACTCTAATCCAAAAAGACGGTGGCAACTTGCTTTCTTTCGTCGAGTGCTTTGGCAAAAGCATGAGTAGATCTGAAGAGACTAGTAACACAAGAGATTTGTGTCTTAACACGAAAAAAATCCCGAAGTTTAAACTCAGGACTGACAAGGAGCGTCTAGGAGAACGATCAGGGTATTTTGGTTTTGTCACAATCAAATTTATCAAACATTCCCTTCCCCCCTCATTCGTAGTCAATTTTCTGTAGTTTCTCTTCATACCGCGTCACATGACGGACCACTTGGCTCCAGGGCAGATCCCAAACGTCACTTTTATTATTTTCTGTGCTTAAATAACATACGCCAGACAGCAAAAGGTTAAGTGAACGCAAAATGTTATTCGGCCCAAAATGTATAGAAAATATTTAACAGAAAAAATGAAAGCAAAGACAAAAACAAAGACAAAACAAAAAAGCAACAACAAGAACAAAAAACATAGAATAGAACTCGGAGAAAAATCTGAAGTTTAAGCAGGAGTGCGTAAGTGTAACCCATCATGCAATTATTCCACTTCGTTTATTTCGATTTGTTTTGGTCGAAAATGTTCGTGTCTTTCTGTTTCAATTCATATTCTTTGGATCTGACCGGTTGTTCGAAGGTTGAGCAATCCTATTCACTGGACAAATCCCTATCCGATGGATGGCACAGCACGTTTCGTTAACACTTATCCGCTGGATAGCGATTTATCAGTCTGATAAAGTTATCTGTCTTAAAAAACTGGGTTCTGAAGTTTAACTCAGTAGCAGTGAGATTGACTGTCAAGAAATCAGACGATTCATCGACATATTTTTACTGTAATCTTTTTTATTGCATCCGTAAAAATACTCTAAGACACACTGATTGACTTATTTGTAGACCTTTATAAGAGCTTGAATAATTAAAAAAAAAGAAATATTGCGAAATTATACAATGTTTGAAATATCTCCACGACACCACATTCATATTAAAAAGTGAAGATATGAGAGATGAGTTAACTTCAATAGTTTTCCGATCATCTACAATGATCAAGACAACAATCTCAGCTTTTACTGAGTTTCGCAAAACTAAAAAAAAAAAAGACAATGGACTCACAAATGTCATTTTAGCTGGGAAATTTTGACGGTAAGCTAACCCTAAAAGATAAAAAAAAAAAACAACTGCCTGCATGTTTGTAAGCAGACATATCTATAGAACTAAAACCAAGTCTAAAACGAAATATTTCGAGCTTGTGCGTGAGTTGTAAACTAAATCTAATGAATATCAAGCGGTTGGTGAAAAATGAGAGCGCTCTTTCATTGAGTGTGGCAAACCTAGAACTACAGCCCTTCAGGAAAAAGGCGTGCATTCCAAAAATTCTAAGGATAGCTGAAGGAATTAACAGAATACTTGTAAACAATTCGAAGGGCGAGAAACGGGATTTTGTTAGGTAAGAATTTGGCGTTAGTTTTCTAGACCAATAACAGGGGAGAGTGAAACAAATCCTTGTTAATCCAATATTACTTTGGACAATTGTTCTTGAGTCGATTTTCCGAGATTACTTTGGTTAATTGTTCTTGGGGCGATTTTTCGAGATCTGCTAACTTTAAGGTCATATTAGGGACATGCAATCGCAACAAGATCGGATCCATTGGCTTACAACTTTCCAGATCTGTTTGCCATCGGATCCGCACTTTCCAGTGTCGTACAAGATATCCACGATCACACCTCCCTGGTTACACTGGCCCGTGTGACCTAGGCAACTTCTGTCGTTAGTGTCGCAGATAATTTCGTTCAAATAACGCGGGAAATAGGCCGGTGATAACTTGGTGACCGCTGACCACTCGGTGCACAGGCGGCGGTGGCCATTTTGATCGCGCGAGCCCTTGTTCCTAACGCTTGTGAGGTTTGTTATAGGAAAAGGACTCGTCGGGCGTGAGGTTGTCGTGGTGTTGGGCGCAGTTTGATTAAGTAGGTTGGGAAATTTTGCTGCGGCGTCTTTCGTGATTGCTTGATAGCGCTTGTTGAAGCTACCGTGGGTTTGCAGTTGTGTCAGCAGTTCTCTCATACTCCTCGTTGTACATGTTGTTGATATGATCCTTGTTTGAGGGCTTGTTGTGTCAGCAGTTGACGTGGAGTTCAACGGACGCGCTTTGATACAGCTTAGAAGGACATTGATTGTAACCACCGCTGAAATAAGTGTTTTAAACATTGTTCTCTGTGAAAACAAAATAATTCATTCTCTCTTGATTGTAGCATTATATTATAAGTCTGAAATAAAAGATATACTGCGGTATGTTATACCCCGAAAAAATATTCAATTAACCGAAAATGTTGGGCGAAAAAGAATTATCTTTTGTCTTATATCTAGAGTTTTGCCAACAGAGTTTAACCTTGTTTGAATAATTTGTCAGGAGTGTGTAAAGGATTACTTCCCGTCAGGAACAGTATTAGTTCGAACCTCGTTTCATGTGATTTTGCAATCGAATGTTCTAAGCTGCAGAGAACTCGTCAGAAAGTTAGGATCCGGGCCTTCTTCTAGGTTCAAGCATGTCGAGCGGCCTTATATATATTGCTAAAATAACGTATGTACACAGCGTTTAGTGTGGAGTCAAAAACATGGTGTATTTGGAGGCTTTTTCGTTGAATAAAGTCTAAAACATGGCAAGAATACTTGGGACAGATTAGTGTTTCTCATATCTCATGGTGCTTTGCTCCCTTACTTTGAACTGAGAATTTTCAAGTAACTGTAGGAGTTATGTTCAGTGTTTCAGCGCCGACTGGAAAACGTATATCAAATGTATTTCAGTGGTCTTTGAATGTTATCGGCCGTAACCCAAACGATTTATTGAACGTTTGCTATCCAAAGGGCATTTTTTTCGATAATTTTTTTCTGGCGAATGGAATTTCATGCGCGCCGACCAGTGTCGTTCAAGACTGTTTTACTCCCTGATACGACAGTGCGTTTGGAGACAACGAAGTATTTCGGAAAAATACGAATTAGATTACTCTTTTAAATAGTTTGCGAGTTAACAAATATAAAAAGCAAAATTCCAGAAAACTTTGAACCTTGTGGGAGAAAGAATTCTTCACCGATGTGACAACGGGTTTTTGTTGTTTTGATTCCTAAATGGGAAACAACTCTTGCTTTGTTGGGAGACGAGTTTTGCTCGACTTTGAGAGGACTTTGACTAGGACGGAAATTAGCCCTGAGGAACCCCTAACAGGGACACACTCAGGAACTTGAAACTTCAAGGGTTTGTTCTTCACTAGTCAACGTAAATCGTAAACAGTACTTTGACAAAGATCGCCCCAGACACGCAACTGCACCACATTTATGCTATCGCCAAACCTCATTGCTTCTTGCATAATCTAAGTGCGTTGAAAAGAAAGCTACATAGGACCAATTTACACGCTTAAGACGTACCAAGTTATGTTTCCTTTTCATATATACATGAGTATCGATAAGGTTTGTTTGCTTAGGAGTAAGTTAGTTTAAGTGCTGACCGTGTATATTAGAGCGATATCTCTACGGGCTTTTAAGAGAGGTGAGTTTGGAGAGAACTTAAATGTCCTATTTGAGATAGACCCAAACTATAATTTTCTTCCTTACAACTGGTGAGAATTGCACAAAATATTGGAATTTAACATTTCCTTTTCCAAAACTCTTCGCGTGCAGTCCAACCCCAGTTTACCTTCTCCGTGCAATACAACATGCGTCCATGAAACTCTTGACATCAAGCCAACAAGCCAAAAAAATCCGCACATATGAACGAAAGTCAACCTACTCACAACCCACAGCGAGTTCTGCTTTGCAGTCGAAGGAAAAGAACTGGTTTGCTCATGTAATGTGATGCTTTCTAGTTGTACATGTCCAAGCTTGCGAAGTCGTAGGAATTTTTTTTTCGCGTTTTTTAACTTAGAAACTGAGCTTTGATCAGAAAGCAAGAAATGTCTTCTTCGAAAATGCTTCTTGTGGCTATTCCATCTGAAATCGAAGCTTCGCAGGGAGCTGAATTGGGGTATACAGCACGTTGATTTTTTTTAACCTAGATACTGAGCTTTGACCAGAAAACACGAAATCTCTTCTTCGAAAATGTTTCTTGTTGCTTTTCCATCTGAAATCGAAGCTTTGCGGGAAGCTGAATTGGGGTATACAGTATGTTGAATTTTAGCCGATCGATTTTCTCTTGCGTTTTTTTTGTTGCATGAAAAATTGAGTTCCGATCTTAAGAGACCTAGAACTGGTTACGACATCAAACAGAGTGCTTTACAGTGTAAACTATAGTACAGATTGATTCTTGACATGAAACAGGGGATAAATGCGAACAGCTTAACAGAATTTCTATGCCTTTACTTTTACTCTTGGTCAACGAAGAAACGAAGAAACGAAGTAATGAGGCTGGATACCCTCGTTAGCCTCCGCTATGTCAAGTTTTATGAATTTGGAATCTAAAGAAACAATGTTGAAATTTATGACCTTGTAAACCTCGCATACGGCCTATAGTTCGGTAAAAAATCTCTGTTTCTAAGTTCGTAGAGCATCCAACAGCGAAATGGGACCCGGTTGGGTTTCGAATTCTCGAGGGGAAATTTCTTTACCCAGCGCTCATGAAAAATATTCATCAATTTTTGTTAAATGAATAATTTAATTGTGGAATGACAAGGCTTACCTCAATATTTTTATGCTCCTCTGCGGTTGGTTATGCGGACAAGGCTCTTGACTGTGGCCTGTGCAATGTTATCAAGCGACTCAGTCTTAACAGTTATATAATCCTGACATATGCGGAAGTGATGTAAAACCGATGTAAAATCTCTCAAATTACATTACCTTGGCATTTTGATGTTATCTTAAAAAGTTTACTTTATAGGAAGTTTTTTTCTTTTGACTCTCGCTCGCCTCTACTTGCTGGGACTAGATGTTTAGGTTTTCAACAATTCAGTTCCCCGATCTTCTATATCCGTACAATTCAAACCATCCAAGCAATAGTTATTTCAGTTTAGCTGATTCAGTTAAACGTTTCGAGAACTTCCGTGCGGTTCAGTAAATCTTGGCCACATTTCCGACAAAAAATGTCAAAAATTTTACTTCCTTACTGCTTTCTGATTTCTTTTATAATATAGATTTCAAAGCCAGACTGTCTGCCACGTCATTTCGCTTTCTTGAGCAGATGTCAAATTTTTACTTGGTCGATGAGAGAAAAGTTTTCGGAATTTTCAGGTGTGAAATTAGATTACTGTGGAAGTGCTGTTTTGCAGATGTAAATTATTAACCTTCCGCCAAACACACGACATAAAGATAAAATGGCTATTTATTGACTCCGATCTATTTTGGGAAAGGAAATTATGTACTTGAAATCATAGGAAATACAATTGTAGCCTACAAACGGACCGAGAACACAGCAAATGCTACGGAGAGATTTCCGTAGACAGGAGCCGTCTATACTTACGTGGCATTTTACATTACGCGTGTTATCGGATTTTTACAGACGTAAAATCACTCTGCGTTGAAGTGCTTATCAAACATCAGTCTCGGTCCGTGAAAAATGCCTGGAATTGGAAAAAAACTGGCCATTTGCTATCCCCGATTTATTTAAGGAAAGGAAGTTCATCATAATGTGCTTGAAATCAAAGGAAATCCAGCTTTAACCTACTAATGGACCAAGAGCACGAAAACTGCTTCGGAAAGGTTTCTGAATAACTGAAAAGCCAAGAGATCTTAAAAACCGCTCTAACGTCTGGAGATGTGAATTTCGTGGCATTACTTTGCGATGCAGTACGGTTTCAGCAGAGTTCTGGTGGTCTTGAGTCAACTTTGTGTTCCTGAGGAACTGTTTAAAAACCGGAATGATCACCGTTTCACCGGTTCTTTCATCCTATCCCATGATGCCCCTCGCGCAGCGTAAGTTAATCTTTTAATCAGACGAATAACCTGCAATGGAACCTTGTTTGACATGGCTCGTTTTGAAAGTTTGATAAAAAGTCGGGGACTTGATTTTCGCGTTATGCAAGGCGCAGTTTCCTCGTAAATTCGTGTCATTAACAAAGGAAAACTCAGAAGAGTGGCCTAACAGTGCTCTCCGTGTTCAGTTTTTGAGGCTTCCTTAATCCCCACTTCCCTTGAATTATGCTTACCACAGCATTTTTAAAATTCCTCAGTTTTAACTTCCTTAGTCATCTCATTTCTCTCTCTCCCTCTCTCTCTCTCTTGTGAGACAGGTATTAGGCCAGTCTTTTTTGGTGAGTCTATTCAGTAATAAAATATGATTTTCTTTCAGTTAAATATAAACAGTAATGAGCGCTGATCATTTTGACTAGCTCCTCTTTTTAGTAAACCAGACGATTGCAATGAAACTCCCCGTGATTATTTTATCGGGTACGTGCGGTAAACACGTACTATAAAATTCATTCCGCTTGTCAATGTCGTTGTTTACGTTTGGACAAAGTTTTTAACGTACTCAAGTCCAAAGTAAAGGCAAGGAGAGCGAAGAATTCTTTATTTCAAGTCAATGTACCATTCATTTACAGCAAGAGAGAGGTTTTGGTTTAATCCTCTGTTGATTACAGTCAGTGTGTTACGGAAATATAGTACAATCACAGCATGCACGGATGGGTTGCGAATACACGTTCAATTGGTCATCTGTAGTCATCAGAAAATCCTGAATAATAACGGTGTTTTGGCAAATTCCTTGCACGCCATCTATTCCACAAAACTCATCTCCTCCGCACAAAAGTTCATTGATGTATCGTGGGCTCTTGTTTGGACCCAGGTCTGTTACAGCAGGGCAAACCGAACAGAGCCTGTGGAGCCCCCCAATTGTCGTTTCGCAGGGGCCGGAGATCGTAGTGATAGGATACAGCGGGTTCGAAAGCGAAATAGCATCTCTCTTGCCAAATTTACCTTCGTTCCTTCTTTCTATTACTCTCTTATGGAGACCATTACCATCCTTGATGAAGTCATCCATTTGAGTCTTGTTTAACGTTGAAGTCGAAGTGGAATGGAGATGTCCATTTCGTAATTTCCTCATCGTTGAGTGTCGAGCCACCAAGTTGGGGAGATTTGCCGCTTCCCTAGCTGTAAATGCCATATACATTGGGTTGCAGTACCCCATTGGCCCAGGGGGTCTTTGGAAACGTCGTAAAGTCTGGGTAAATGTCACCTCGTCAGTAGGAGTTCTCACCGTGTCCATAATCCGCCAGAAAAGGAGAAGCACAACAGAAAACAAAAGTGAGCGAGGAGGCATCTAAAGCGATGAATGGAAAAAAGAAAATTTATCGTGGAGATTGAAGTTGTTTCTCTTTCTCACGCCAAGTGTGTAACAACTTTTCCATAATTGACGAGCGCATCCAAAACTTAGTATTTCAGGCGTGATTTTGGCAAGCGACTGCTCTGTTATTTCTTAGCGAAAATTATGGCCCTCATTTTTTATTTTAATGGAAGCGGACGCCTGCACTGCAAGCTAACAATTCAACTTTTTTTAATCTTTCGCCACACCTTTTTTATTGCAGTAGCACTGGTGCTTGCCGCATTTAAACCTAATTTATGTCTACCTTTTCAAATAATTCCTTTTCGGAAAGTCCGATGGTCTGATGGTCGAAAACATCTGAGTGAAGATTACGGTGCTTTACAGTTAGATATTTACTCGTTTTCCTTGCATGTACAAAATTTTCAAGGAAATCGACATTGTAAATGAACTCAAAGAGCTGTTAATTTTTCTCAAGCCTTGTTGTCAAAACGCTAGGTAAAGCAACTTTGCTTACTAAGATATAATTAGAAATACCTTAAACTGTGTTCTTCTTTAGAAAAATCGCCTTTGTCTCTCTTGATCTGCTTTTTGTGCGGTATCAGCAGTTTTGAGAAAGGAAAAGGTAGTTTGACAATGAATTTCGAAGCGGTAGTTATATTCAAAGTTCGAGCAATACAGTATTATACAGTACAATATCTTTTTAAGGAGTTCCCAATAGGAATCTTCCGCCCGGTTGCATTGAACAATGATTTAAAAGAATTAAAGAAAAAAAAACAAAAGGATGACTTATCGCTAATATTACATTCGTATATACTATCATAAGCAATGTGTCGACTGCAGCAGAAAATTCCTAAAAAAAAAAATACAGTTTCTTTCCACAAAGAAAACTCTTTTAAACGTGATTCCACAACCTGAGTATAAAAATTGCAAGGTTTGAAAGACTGCATTTTGGGTGGCAAGGAGTTCTTCGCTAATGGCGCACTTTATGAAAACAAGTACTTGGCAGCGTGTTCAATGTAGATCATTTTCTCTCTTGAAAACTCTGATTGGTGTTCATAAGTCAACTCCATTGATTAAGACGTTCACAGCTGGGTACATTATTTGATCATTTGTTTTATTAAACAGCGATCGATCAGTCACTCTCATTTTCCAAGTTTTCTAGTTTACGAGGGTTCCAAGTGATCAGTTCGAATCAGTGTAAATATTCGGAACGGCCTTTAGTTTGGAGAATGCTAGGGTGACTCCGGCAAGTCTTGCTTTAATTTCATCCTTAAAATAAAAAGAAATAAATCAATTTTCTTTCATTTCTAAAAAATTATGTTGGCTTCTGTATGTACATTCTCCCAGCGTCTGCATTTAGAAGATGAATCAGCAAAAAGAGGTTAAAGTCTCGCCAAACTTCCTTTCAACTTGCAAAGTTCAATAAGTAATTTTCACGCGCAGTGATTTTAGGTTTTCTTCAAGAAAAAATTATGGGACCCGTAATTTTCTCTTGGTTTGCTTTAAATTAAATGAGACACTTTGATATCTCATCAAAGCTGGTCCCTCTTGATGACAAGATCGTTGATTCTCACTGCGTATTTTCTGGATAATGTAATGAAATAGAAATTAGAAGTTATCTTTTAATCGCTTCTTGGAGGTGAAGGGTAAAATTTATTGATCTATGCATTAAAGATCGGGACCGGATTCATTTAGGAGGTGGCCGGAAAACCGCGCTCAATTAGTTTCAAAAGATTTGCCGAATGAAGAGAATTGTATCTTCTAAGGCCATTGTTATAAGCAGGTGAAGGTCAATGGTATTTCATAACTTTGTCTCATCATTCACTTTAATAAATTAGTCCTAGGGTAATTGTAATAGCCTTAAACTTGAGCCGATTAAAAATTTTGTTTTGCTTTAAATAGCATTATATATAAATCTTATTTTCTCGCTCAAGCGGGAGTTAATCGTGCTGGGATAGCATTTAAGCCTGGTTCTTATATGCCTGCTACGTGGCCACACGCACGACCTGGGACAACGTTATGGCATATACACAAAAAAATATCGCCGACTCACTCTCGGTCCCAGGCACTGACCGCCGCCTCAGTTCAATTTCGCAGGCAAGCCGGCGGTTATCGGTGATTAAAATATTTCTTATCTCCGGTAACTGGCGAAGAAATCAGTGATTTAGCTACTCCATTTCCCCACAATTCCATAATTATTCTGTTCACGAGTCGCAATTCTGCGAACGAAATATGATACTGGTCGTGTCTGCCCTTGAATTGGAGCACGTGCATAAGTCGCAGTACTTCTTTCCACAATATTCTTCTTTTTCGTTAGGCACCTTATCACGAGCTCAAGCGCAAGCGAAAATTGGCGCTCCGGCAACACTATAAGATCAATATTGTTGTAGAGTATTTTAAAGGATTGCTATTTCGAGTATTTTTAGGTTTACCTTTTGTTTTATCGAGTCTCGCCTTTTTACGCCTACGCGTTATTTTGATAAATTTATAGTTTTGGTCTTTTATTTTTAGTGCGTACTTGAACTTGGCTCAGTTCGCGAATTTCCTTCTTACCGTGCTAGACATTTTGATCGCTTGTTATGGTTGAGAATAATTAGTTTCACAGCTGGTCATGTTTGGGTTGGTAAAACTGACCTTGAGTTCTACCGCCACACTGAAGATCTTGCTTGTGCGCGTCATTCTCGCGCGCAACCTGATCATTGGCGTTTAATTGGTTCCTTTGTGCTCGCCAAGTACTTCGGAGCGAGCCACCCAGTTTCCCCCTTTGCAAAACAACTGCGGAAACTCTCACGATCAGCTAACCCAAACATGTCTGTGATTTTTGCATTAAATACGCAAGCACTCCTTGCTAAAAAATGAAAGAGAAATAGCTGCGGTAGTAGAGGGTAGTAGCAACAATAGAAGAGTAGAGAATAAAGAAGAAAATTACAGAGTCTTGGTTTCTTTCGTTAATTCGTCCAAGCGGATTGGTAAAACCCCCCAACAATATAAACAGACGGAGGGGTAGGAATATTGTACAGTTCGATTTACATTTTTTGCCAATTTTATTACTTTCGATCGCAGATGCGTAGAGGACCGATGTGGAGAGATCGCCGGGCTTCGACAGTTTCCCCCGGGACTGTGTCGCTGGGAGTCGACAACTGCCCCCAGGGACTATGTCTGATATGTCTGCGGCATATGAGAATCAGGCTTTACAATCACTAAAGCATTTCAAGCGAGATCTGACGTTTCACTATTTAATGATGACTATCAGACATTTTTGCTGTTTAGATATAAAAAAAATCGTCATTAGGGGCGTAATCTTAACTCAAATGATCAAATAGTATTTTGTATAACATTGGCATTTCTTACACTGTTTTTACGTTGTAAAAATAACCGTAAAAACTCAACTCGGCTTAGTTTCCCACCCGTTTGTTTCCTTTGCTTGGACGTGAGAGACTGGTTAAGAAACTGATATACATGTATAACTAATCACTTTGCACACAATAGATTGGCGACTAAATTTCGATGCGACTATCGGAATTAGTCTAAATTTTTATCACTAACTTTACAGTACGAAGTTATGAAAAATTGCAGCCAAATAAAATTGGAGAAGTTCGCACTCGACAAACCCGATTGGAAGAGTCACGTGACCAAGTTTTCACTTGCCATCATGTTAGAGCAACATGCATTGACAACACATTTCCATGTCATAATAGTATTCTTCTAAATCTTTATTGCAGGTCGTCAGATCCTTAGAGGGATCTCTGAAGAACCTCTGGCTCATAACTGATGTTCTGCATTCTCCAAGACCCTGACCGCAAGGTATGCGTGAACTCTTGCAACTGACTTCGTTTACGAAGCGCGGATAATAGCTAGCGCCAAGGTCTTTCACGACGGGACACCCTTCACAGTTTCCCGAATCTTTTACGCATGCTCCTGATTCCAGAGTGGCGGGAAAACTTAACGGTGCCCAGGCGGCCAAAGCCGAGAAGTTTCCTGGCTGCAAGGTGAGCAGGTTTTTAAAGTTTCTTCGCACTTCGTCTAACGTAAAGGCCATGTAGTTTTCGTTATATGCACCCAAAGGTCCACCACCGTTTAGCCTTACATGGTCCTTTGCTTCGGTGGTTGTGATCTGTGAACACTTCTTTTCCTTCTCGTCCTGTATTGTGAGCAAGGGCAGTTGACAGATAAGGAGTAAGACCTGGGGAAAAGTAGAAGAAACTGAGTGAGATGTCACTCCTTGGACGTACGTCCTATTTGATGGTAGTATATTAGACAGAATGCTTGGACATTATTGTTTGTTCGGTGTGGGAAGCTTGCCTAATGTTTTCAGACTGCCTCTATTTTCTGGTGATTGCATGATTACCCAACGATAAAGACTGCAATAAAGTCTCGGGAGCGACGTGTTTATTCGGTATAGGCGAAGGAAGTTTGTTTTTAAGGGTTGTTTACGGCTAATTCCACAACCATCAACGCAACTCTGATATTGTTTTCGGAGTCGATGATGAATTTTGTACAATCTCTGTCAATTAAGGGTATTTCGGTAAGAATCTTACACCGCTTCAAATGTTTTAAAACGGAGCAAAAAACGGCCAAAATAACCCAAATTAGCCTCCCATACCACCTTAACAACGAACCCACAATCGGCCGGATTAACCTAAAAAAGATAACAAGCACGATAGAGATTTTAAGGATAGACAACTCTCAGCTTCAATGAAGACATTAGGTGATTGAATTTTGGTACTGACAAAGGTGTAACAAAGGTCAAAGGTCATGGGTTCAAATCCCGAATAGGCCTGAAATTTTTCCAGGTCTTATTTCCACTACCACATAAGTAGGGTTCTTTACTGCCAGGATCGCTTTCATACATTTCATGAAGCCGCGGCGCACACATTTAAATTTCATACATTCAAATTCATTGGTGTACTCGCTCATTTATTTATTTTGAGTCCAAATTGTATGAACGACGAGAAAACGAGACCTTTCTTAGCTCCTTGCTGGCTTGCTCATGCACCAGGCGTATTCCCTGCGGAGAAAAGCGAGTTATCTTCGCCCTATGAAAGCCATTTTGTTTTCGATATCTAACGTTATACTCGACCACCTGAACAGTAGGTATTCCGCCCGCCTTCTGAATTTCATAACTTCAGGCCATTAGGTACGTAACAATACCATTCTAATCGGTTGGAAAATCAGAACCTTCGCTTGAGTTGCATTGCAATGTCTAATGAACAGTAGATATTCCGCCCGCCTTCTGAATTTCATAACTTCAGGCCATTAGGTACGTAACAATACCATTCTAATCGGTTGGAAAATCAGAACCTTCGCTTGAGTTGCATTGCAATGTCTAATAACAAACGGGGGACAATTGCAAGCTGCTTTTTGTGTCGCGAAGTTTTGCATGATCCGGACATTTGAACTTCTGGTGATATTACGCTGGAGACAGCCTTGCTGAAACTTTATTATAGATATTGCAATATATTGCAATGAAGCTTCGAACATCAAGATTTGGTAGCACTGAAACATAGGCTTTTGAGTGCATATTAGGCATTGAACACGCTACCTCGTTGACGATATAAGAGAGTTTGATTTATAAATGTAGAATACACTTCTTGTTCTGTGTTGCCATTTAACAAACTTTAGCTTGTGCATGTGATGTTGCCACAGGTGAACCTTGATAAGAGTTTAAGAAAACATGAACGTGAATGGATAGGTACGGCTGCAATACAATAGCAACTTCTGATGTGGTTGATATTTGCTTTCTGAAATTCCTTTTTGAATTTTCCTTCGCGAAACACTATCGTATTGAGCTTTTCTCTTAGTTTTATTAGCCACATAATCTGCATCACTTTAAAATTTCTTAAAATAACAAACATCGTGGTCTATTTTGCAACCAAGGTTGTTTTCGCTCGAATATAACGCCTAGTAGAGACAATCCCAAAATTACACTCGTCAACGAGGAATGCAGAGTTTCAACGCGAGATTTCCAGTTAGAGCGACTTAACCGAGTCTTGTTTTTCTTTAGAACAATTATCCACGTCTCAGTTTGCGAATGTATTGCTAAAGCCCTTCTTCGTGTAAATGGATACTAAGGACCTTAGGCAAACCACAACGGCGACGGCAACAAGGACGTGGCAAAACAAAAGATCTCGCAGATAAAACAATGGCACGACACGTGCGTTTTTAAACTTTGAACATTTCTTAGCCTTCTTATGCAAAACAACAACATCAATCACCAGAATTTGCGTGATCTGAGAACAGAAGCCTACTCGGCAAATTATTTAAGTTTCCATTTGGAACTGATCATTGCGGTATGTTGAAGTTGTGTTGAGGCGCCGCAAGAGACCGGAGACGGAGACACATCCAGTCATTCACGATTTTCTACAATATTCATGAAAAAAAATCATGTTTTGATTGACGTCTTCCTCGGCGTTGCCTTCCTGACGGCTTAAAGTCCTTAAATGTGACTTTGTTAGAGTTTTCTTTTGATTCATTTCCGCAAGGTATAGCTATTAGTTTTGCATTTATAAGAGATATATCGTATGAAGCAGTTATCTTAACATTTGTCCTTCTTATGGTATCGTAGTTTGTTCATTAGCGTTGAATTATATGTAATTCCGGATTTGATCTCAAAAAGTGTTTAAAACGATTCACTGTACATCATCAACTAATTATAACAAGCACATACTTAGAAAATCTTTATTAAATCCTACCTTCATGTAATGTTGGAAGATAAACATCGCTCTTACTCAGTGGTAATGATTTTAGGTAAACAACTCTCAGGACACCAGAAGATGTGTGCATGGGGAGCATCAACTGTCAACTGGCCAGCATAGCAAAATGCTGAGATAAAATAAGCTCGTGAGTTATCCAATCAAGCTTGTGCAACTCAATATTAAATATAGAAAAACCGTAGCAACCCTTGTATTAATCATCGGGACGTAGATGCGATTGAGTGTTGTAGTGGGCGGATCGCAACGCGTACTTTTATGCTGGAAAAATATTCGTTTACAGGATTCCGGTTCAAAACTCCTCTTTCAAAAAATAACCTTTCACAGAATAGCTTTTGCTATCTGTGTGAGGCTTCTATTATGCGGGTACCACAGCTATGTTAATGCCTTTGGGAAGCGTGGCTTAAAATGATATTGAAAAATAATTGACAAACAGGAAAAAGTCATTTTGGTTTATAGTATCGCTAAGTATTTTTACGAGTTGTGCCGTATTTTGATGAGCCTGTAGGGCGAGTCAAAAGACAAACGACTCGCTTAAAATACTTAGCGATACTTCATTTTCCGCGCGTTTATTATTAGGAGAGAAAAGCAAAGTTGATAGAGAAGCGTAAAGCGTACAGCCGACTGGTTAAACGGGTTTTTTTTTACAGTACAGGAAAACCAGACGTCCAAATATCGCATGTTATCATTCGATGGATTTTTCCCCCCATTTTCATTGGCTGGGAGCCCTTTACGTGACCTGCAAATAACTGCCTACAAATAATGGTCTGCTCATGCGTACTACTGTCTAACTCTGTTTTTGCTGCAAATAATATTCTGCTCATGCGCAGTAGTAACCACGCTCTTGTTGTCGCTCTTGTGGTCGCTCTTGTGTGTAAACATTATAAGAATCGTTGAGCAACAAGAAGACCGTAACAACCATTACGGCAACCTCTTCGATTCCTGTAGCTGAGAGTGCACCGCTACCACTTCTCACAGCCTCTCGGGAAGAGCATATTCTAAATGAGCTAAGTATCGAGCAATCTAATACGCAGCAGATAGTTAATAATTTTTACAACTGCACTTTCAACTTTTAAAGTGAACTTTCAGTGAGTGTGTTAATGCTAATTCATCGATGAATACATTTTCTGTTTTTTTTTCGGATTTCAAATCCTCGAAGACTGTGAACTTGTTCCTGGAAGTTTCAGCCATTTGAAGGCACTGACATTTTGTTAATTAACAGTTGACTGTACGTACAATTTAAAGTCAACAGAATACATTATTTAACTGAGAAGGAAACCATTTGGTTTCTGGCAGCAGTGACCGCTTGCCGCTTCCCCCAAAAAATTGAAAACAAACTCGCTTGCCGCTTCCCCCAAAAAATTGAAAACAAACACGGTGATCGAATGATAGAACAATTATTGAACTCGGATATAGCAAAATATCGTGATTTGTCCATGGCGAGCAGATCAATTTTTTGCCGAAGCCGAAGGCTGAGGCAAATAATTGATCTGCTCGCCATGGACAAATCACGATATTTTGCTCAACCTCGTCCAATAATTGTTAAATATTTGTACTCGATTCGCGCGTTATTTTTTCTTTGTATGGTGCAGTTGGGTAAAATCCTTAGCACAATGACTCCTTGTCGACGAGAACATCTTAAAAGTTCACGAAAGAATAAGGCATGTAATTTTTCCAAGGGATGATATAGGTTTTGACTGTTTTGTTCACATTTGCTGCGAGGTCCAATACGCCAGTGAAAAAATGTGATACACGTATTTTGATGAACCTCGTTGCGAGGTCCAATACGCTAGAGAAAATAGGTGATGCAGAATGTGCAACCAAATTTGGCAGAACAACCGTGATTGCCGCTTGCTTATGATGCTGAAGTTAAAAAGGCAAAAAAAATATCTTTAATTAAGAAAAAAAAGGTAATCTCCAGGACTGCTAGAAACCACAGCGGCTCTTAAACAGCTGAGTCTTTTTTTTTTTTTTGATATTGCACTCAAAAGCCGAAGCTTTGCTTACTGCGAGACTACTTAGGAAAGGAAATGGAGTTGGATTGGTGGCTGAAAACTGTCGCTGAAAAAAACTGTGGCTGAAAACTGTCGACTGGGAGAGACCGTATGAAAAGCACAAATGTTACCGGAGGTATTGGACAAATATTAACACTACTCCATAATACTCACCCAAAGACATATGGAAGGAAGAGTGAATGCAAATTGGATTCCCCTTATCTACGCTCAATTATAGGCCGCCTAGAATATTATTTCATTTTCTAATCAGGACGGAAAAGAGTGTTCTATAAATAAGGAGAATTCAGAATTAAGCGTGTTTGCTCTTACTGTTAACAAGCAGGAGTATGTGTTTTCCCTTTGATAATTTAAATCCACCATTTCCTCAAATTTGCTAGTTCAATATCAGCTTACTGAGGTCCAAAGCATTGTACTTGAACTGCATGCTGGTATGTTGAAAAGATTTCTAGCTTCTTACAAGAATGATATAATATCAAAGGCGTAGGACCTTGAAGCGTTTAACTTCCCTTATATTGCCAAAAAACGAGCTGAGGTTAATTAGCCGGCCAATCAGAAGCGAGGGTGCAAATTTTGCCCAAACGTGGAATTAGAGGTTCAAGCAGTGTTTTCTTTCATAAAATAATACTCAAAACTAATTACAAAGAGGCATCGAAAAAGTTACAAGAATGAAATATTACGCCATAATCTTTATTGGGAAGCACTAAATGAGTTATGATAACTGATTTCCCTTTGGGGAGACTGGGTTAACATTTTCTGAAATACAATTTGAGTTCAACTTCGCACTTAAATGTGGCGGTCAGTGATAGTGCGGTGGATGCAAATGAATCAAGAGGATTGATTTTGAAACTTAGCTGCCGTGAAAATGAGCCTCTAAGTTTTCATCGAGACGAAAGGATATTTCGACATTTCAATCCATGTGCCTTCAAGAAAGCAAGAAGGTGAAAGATGTGCACGGCGAACCTACCACTGGCCGTTTGTAAAAGTTGTGATAAGTTAGCTAGACAGAGTTAAATGATTTACTTTCTAACTTTTGTTAAACTGATTTACTTTCTAACTTTTGTTTGACTAAATATTTGAAGCTGACTGAAAGTAGTTTCCAAATTTCAGACGAAATGCTACACAATATCTAGTAGATGAGTGATCCGCGAGGAAGTGAGAATGCGGCTGATTACGTTAAAATAACACTTGCAGCGAAGTTTATGGTGTGCACAGAATTGTAGTTCATTAACTAAATGTTACACCAAATTTTCTTTCAAAGACAGACGTTGTTTCTTTGAATAAATTATTTCTACCCCATATAGTCAACTTTAGTTCATAGCCATGTTGTCGGCTCGTTTTGTAGACGAATTTGTGTAAATCAATCATCGGAAGAGGCTGTATCTTTTTGTGTGTCGGTGTATAGGTTTTCTCTCGCATTTACTCTCTTGTGAGACTGAAACAGAGTTGTCTCCTACTTCTGTAAAATTGGTTAGAATGGTGACTTTTTGGGAGAAAATGTCTATTTAACCGCCTCCGGGTTAGCTCAATTGGTCAGAGCGCCGGATTGTGTGCGGGAGGTCGAGGGTTCGAGCCCCGGCTGGACCGATACTTATGGTCTTGAAATAAGTGAGGAGAATTTGCTACCTTTCTATAATCAAGAAATGGATAGATAATCTAGACTTCTCAGATAAGGACGAATAGTGGGCCCGTCTCCTGCAGGGTTAGGGGTAGGAGACGTTAATTTTCCACGCATGAGATTACTGTGTTGTGGATGTCCTCCCCTGGGGTGGGATGGGTGGGAATTGGGCCTGAAAAGCCCCCATGGAGAGCGATCAACTAACGTATGTAGGTATGTTTGTATGCATGTATGTATGTATGTATGTATGTATGTATGTATGTATGTATGTTTGTATGTATGTATGTATATATTCACAAAAGAAGTGAGTTGTTTGCGTCCTCGTACGTTCGCTAAAAAATGAATAGTTTACCTGTTAAAATGTTGTTTCAATCTCCACTTAGACTAACTGGGTTGCAGTAGTTCATTAAAAGAGATCTAAAATGTTGAATTTCACTAGTTGGCTGCAAGTTAGGTGTTCTGCTGTGCTCTGACTCGCTTGCGGAGAAAACTATTCTTTGTTTGAATATGTAGCCTGGTCGTCATTCAGACACAAAGGGACGGTCTCTCCCTCATTGCCAAAGGCTAACTGAACTTTATTAACAAATAAGTTACACATAGAGAAGTAGAAGAGTTTACTGACGTATAGTAATTTTACAGCATGCAGGAATTTCAGTGCAGTAGTTTAATGTAGCCTGGTCGTCATTCAGACACAAAGGGACGGTCTCTCCCTCACTGCCAAAGGCTAACTGAACTTTATTAACAAACAAGTTACACATATAGAAGTAGAAGAGTTTACTGACGTATAGTAATTTTACAGCATGAAGGTATTTTACAGCATGCAGGTATTTTACAGCATGCAGGTATTTTACAGTATGCAGGTATTTTACAGCATGCAGGTATTTTACAGCATGCAGGTATTTTACAGTATGCAGGTATTTTACAGCATGCAGGTATTTTACAGCATGCAGGTATTTTACGGCATGCAGGTATTTTACGGCATGCAGGTATTTTACGGCATGCAGGTATTCTACGGCATGCAGGTATTTTACGGCATGCAGGTATGTTACGGCATGCAGGTATTTGACGGCATGCAGGTATTTTACGGCATGCAGGTATTTGACGGCATGCAGGTATTTGACAGCATGCAGGTATGTTACAGCATGCAGGTATTTTACAGCATGCAGGTATTTTACAGCATGCAGGTATGTTACAGCATGCAGGTATTTTACAGCATGCAGGTATTTTACAGCATGC